CTGCCTCAGCCTCCCGAGTAGCTGGGACTACAGGTATGTGCCACTATGCCCGGCTAATTTTATATATATATATTTAGTTGTCTAGATCATTTCTTTCTATTTTTTAGTAGAGAGAGGGTCTCACTCTTGTTCAGGAATTTCTTGCTTTTAAAAGCCATCTAATTTAGTGTTTATGTATTAACAAATGGCTGAAGGCTACTCAAATTTCACACTAAGGGGATTTTGCTGTTGTTTTCTAAATTCTACTTTTTCCTTGACAAAATCTGGGCACTCAGACTTATATCCCTTACTATATGTGTTATTAAATCTTCTCTTCAGTTTCCTAAACATTTTTTCAATTACAATATGAGAGATAATACAGCATGGTGTTTAATGCAGGTCTCAAGACAGCCAGATATGGATTCTCAGGCTTGTACTATGTGACTTTACAAGTCACATTCTGGATATAACATTCTGTGCCTCAGTAATCATTTGTTAAATGATGAGAAGTGTAACCTTAATTCTTACGGTTGTTGTGAGGAGTGAATGAGATAATTTTGGTACAGTGTCTGGATCATCAGGGGCTCTCAATATTTTTCTATGTTCATTCAAATTGTTATTTGCTTCTCATGCCAATTAACTTCCACAAAAACTCCAGAGGCTAGTGGTTGTATTCATCTATAAAACTGGCCAGTTAAAATGTGCTTTATTCATTTCTTAGGAAATAAAGGTTGCAGAATACACAGAAATTTCAACAGACAATGGAAGTTTATGTCATAGGAATCTCACGCCGAAGCATACAGTTCATGCAGTGGTATACACAATGGCAGCAGTCACTAGCATATAAGACAGGAATTGCTACAGACACTAGAGTTCTGAAATGCTAGTTTTCAACACTACTATGAACAAAATAACATAAAACATGATGGGAAAAGCAATTCTATAAAGGGTTAGAATTCTTTTGCAAAGCAGATGAAAGTAAGACTTTAAATAAAACTCTTATGTTATACTCATTTTCAGCTGATGAAACAGGCAATAAAAGTAAACCAGTGTTTAAAAAAAAGATGAGTAGGTAGCATTTCAATTAATGTTTTCCTGAGTTGAAAAAATGAGCATGGAGGTTGGGCACTGGCTCACACCTGTAATCCCAGCACTTCGGGAGGGGAGGCCAAGGTGGGAGAATCACTTGAGTTCAGGAGTTTGTGACCAGCCTGAGCAACACAGCGAGATTCTGCCTCTATAAAAAATTTTAAAAATTAGCCGGGTGTGGTGGTGCATGCCTGTAGTCCTACTCAGGAGGCTGAGGCAGGAGGATCTTTTGAGGCCAGGAGTTCGAGGCTGCAGTGAGCTATGACTGTGCCGCTGTGCTCTGGTGTGGAGGACAGAGCAAGACCCTCTTTCTTTAAAAAAAAAAAAAAAAAGAGCATGGAGACAGAATCTTGAGATGTAAGTATTTAAAACCGAAATTTGGGATTTTCAGTAGCTTAAAATACATAGTAAAATAGGATGCCAAATATACAGTTGTATGATTAGTGTCATGCAGATAGGGACTCCATTTAATACACAGGTGACTCGTGAAACAAATTAATGATTGATAAAGTAAGTTAATGTGCTAATTCACCTGGAATTAGAAATCGCATTTAAAAAAAACATAATATGGTATGCCTCCTCTCCCCAGCACACATACAAAGCCAATATAGTTTTCCATGCCTATGTTTTACTTTTGGAAGCATTGACAAAGACACGTGAATCACAGCTGCAGAACTCTGGAGCACTGGGTAAATCACAAATGGTAGTGTAGGGAAACAATTCTAGTGATTTGTAAAGCATTTAGTAATGATGCTCATCATGTTTTATGATATTTAGATCATTTCTAAGTGAAAAGTACAATATCTATTCTTCAATCTCTAGACACAGAAATGTAAAACTCCATTTTGTGCAAGACTCTTACCACTAACAAGGCACTATCATCAGTGTGCTGAGACCTTCTGGATGGGAAGGGACACTGGAGAGGTAGAGAAAAATGAAGCATTGTCAAAAACAAACTATGCACATGTGTGACATATTTTACAAATATACACACAAGGAAAGAGACATATTAAGAGATACTTTTGAAGAAGCTGACATATAGGGCCACATTCACAATCATCTTGAATTCATGCCTTATAATAGTCAATAAGTTGATTCTGAGTACTGATTTTCTTTCAAAGAATTTAAACAAGTTCAAATCTGATCTTACTGCCTAAAACCTTCCAAAGCAAGGAAGGAACAGGGATTATTCTCCGTTCACAAAAGAGAAAGCTGAAGTACAGACAGAACAATAATATAAAGAATTTGTGGTCATTTAGTGAGCCAGAGACAAACAATAAACCCAAGAATCATGATTTCTAGTCTAGGAATCTCTTCATTACCTTTCTCAGATGAAATAAAAATTGAAAAATTTAAAACTGTACGTGTTATTTTCCTGTGAAGCTTTAGTTTTTAGAGAATGAATTACTTGAGAATGACCATCAAGAAGGAAATGTTGGGGTAAAAAAGA